GATAGAAATCTCCCTGCCTCATTGACATCGAACGCATGTTGGATAACACCAAATGCAGATTACCTTATTTGAATGTGTTGCTTATATGATTATTGGTTAACATGTATATGATTGGTGAAGCTATTAAATGTTGTATTTAATTGGTGATGTAGTTCTATGTATATTGATATGAGATGATATATATAGATGGTTGCATGGTTGAAATTATTGAGATACATTGATATGCTATAAATTTATGAATGTTGTTAGATCTATATCCATTGACCTGAGGTAATGAATATGGATGAATGTTGTTGAGGTGAATGTTCAGAGTGTTTTAGGCATGATTTATTGACTTATTGAGGTGTTGATACTGAGAATGCTATAAACATTAAAGCATGTTGATTGACTTGAGACTAGAAGATAAAATGTTTTTGAAAGTTGAATATCCCATTATGTGATATTGGTGTGGCGCTCTAGGAAGCCAGATGTTGAAAACCCCCTATAAGTAGGTGATAACTCTTGGAGTGGATTGTCAAGTCTCCTCTAAGTCCTAAGTCAATGTTGGAGTAATGCATGAAGTTGAAGGTTATCATCCTTAACTGATTATTAGATGGGTGTATGGTATCACAAGAATAGTTAATGAGTTAATTCCATAAGTGACTTGGTTAATGCATGTTAATATTGTGGTAGGTCCACACCCAGGCTATATTATACCTAACGGTGGTATTGAACTTTCCTAATTTAAGTAACAACGTCAGAGAAATCAAACGATAGAGATTGATATTCCAATTTAGTGAGTTGCGTAAGGTTTGAAAATGATTAGGTTAATTTGGTAAGATTTAGCCACTTAAACTATTAAGGTGTTATAGAAGATCTATGTAGGTGAGTGTGTGATGATGCATTGATTGAGGTATCTACATATGATATGTTGTGATTGATGTTGTTCATATGCATTGGTGCCTATATGGTTGTATGGCATGATTGTGGTGTAAATTTGATTGCTTGAGTTGTTGCTTTTTAAACTTGCTGATGTCATGCTAATAGTTGTATGATATGAGCCATGAGGTGCATGTTGAGTGGTTCACATGTTATTATTGGTAGTGTATTGTATTTCATATATAATTGTTATATCTTGATTTTTTTGAAATCTAACTTACCTTTGCATATTTTTCTGGTAGTTGGACTATGATGATCATGTTTGTATGGGAGCATGACAAGGTTAGTTAAATGCATGATGGAGTTTTGGTGAGCCACGTTGATGGTAGTGTAGCCCTTGGCTACTTTTGTAGATTTTGCTTTAGTTTATTGATTGACACTTAAGGTCATATACCATAATTTTGGATTATTGTATATAATATGTATCTTTATAGTTTTTCAATTGTTTTTGCAAAACCTTATTATATATATATATATATGTATGTATGTATGTATGTATGTAGTTTGTTATGATGTTATCCAAAATCTATAATTATGTGAATCTTAGGTAGTGGATTGCTATATGTGAAATAATGGATTTTACAAATTATGAAAAATCTGATTTAGATTGAATGTGTCTAAGGGAAATTAAGGTTAATCCATTTTTATTATGTACAACCCTTTGCCATAAGGCGAGCTTTTATATCTTTCAATGCTTCTATTAGATCTAAGCTTCACTTTATAAACTGATTTATAACCAATTGGTTGTTTCCTTGGAGGCAATTCAATAAGCTCCCATATTTTGTTTTCCTTAAGAGTTAAGATTTCTTTATACATGGCCTTTTGCCAACATTTAAGTTTGACAAGTTGTTTGTATATTTTTGGATCACATACATTTGAAACGAATAAAGTAAAGGATTTATTGGAGGAGGATAAACGATCAAATGTAAGAAATTGAGAAAGGGGAAATGGAATACGAGATGAAGAGCTTGTTGCATGCTATGTATGGACTATATTGTAGTAATAGTCTTTTAAATAATTTAGTGGATGCCTTTGTCTAGTAGAAGCTTGAGTTGGATGAGGTTGAGATATTTTTTTGTTTTCTAGTGGGGTTAGTGTATTTGATGGGGCGAGTTCAAATTGATTGGGATGATCAAGGTCTGGTGGGGTAATGTTTGAAGGTAGGCATATGGTAGAAAATTGAGTGGCAATATCAACAAATTTAGGAAATAGGAAGATAATTTCATCAAATACTACATTCTTAGATAGAAATAAATCTTTATTGTGTAAGTCAAATCAAAGGAACCCTTTTGACAATGTCTTTATGGCCTAAGTAGAGGCATTTCCTCTTAACACGAAAAATGATTTTTTTTCCTATTTGCTAGTAGTGTGAATGCATAACACAAACTACCAAAGACTTGAAGATGAGACAAGTTTGGAGGTTTGTTGTAAAGGACAAAAAATGGTGACAAATTGTTTAGTTTATTAGACAAAAGTAAGTTGATAATGTGAATGGCATGTGTTATTGCAAATGACCAAAAGGAAATTGGGAGATTGACTTGAAATAATAATGCACGAGCTATATTAAGAATATGTTGGTGTTTGCGCCAAACTCTATTACCATATTATCATAATTGGAATAAAAAAAACTTAACTTTATTCATCACCAAAATAATTCTTATATATGCATTTTCAAAGCATTAAAAAAGAAAGATAAAATAAACTTAAAAAAACAAAGATAAAAGATAACACAAACTATCATTTTACAACTAAATTTAAAACATAAATCTATCTATTTATTTATAATATGAAAGTCAAGGTACTCTGTATTATAACGACATGTCATTTTAAAAAAACTTTAGGCGTGGTCATATTAGTCAAAATGTTGACATGTCATTTTATAATCTCTTCATTTTCTAATATATCTCTATTTATATAAATCTAGTTACAAATTCACCTTCGAAAACCTAGCTACAAATCTGTTTCAAAAAATCTAACCTATCATGCACATTCTAAGTCGATTGACAGTTTGACCATTGTCGTTATCACACTCCACCTCTTCTTCAATGACTACCTCCTCCTCAATATGATGCTCCTCTCCTCCTCTCCTCCACCACCTTCACTTTGCCCAAACATAATACTAACATAATATCTCTTAAATTACAAAATTAATCATCAATAATAATATTTGTTTAATTAAACAGTTTGACCATTGTCGTTATCACACTCCACCTCTTCTTCAATGACTACCTCCTCCTCAATATGATGCTCCTCTCCTCCTCTCCTCCACCACCTTCACTTTGCCCAAACATAATACTAACATAATATCTCTTAAATTACAAAATTAATCATCAATAATAATATTTGTTTAATTAAAATTTAAAATTATTTTATTAATTACAAATTGTAACAACATTTTATTATAATTATCAATTATGATATAATTGTATAAATTACAAATTATAATTACTATAATTAATTATAATTTAAAAATTTATTATCAATTACAAATTATAACAATATGACTATCAATTATTTTTTTATGACACAATTGTATAAATTAATATTTGTAATTAAAATATTCAATACTAATTTTAATTTTATCATCACTTTCTTCCATATTTGATACCTGTACATATATTTAAATTAATTAATAAATTTTAAATATTATTTGAAGTTATACTTTTAAAATATATTTAAATTTAAAAACTCATTCATAATTTATCATTATACTTTAATTTCAAATAACTCTTCTTCCGCTATATAACAACCCTAAATTATATCATATACAAATATAATTAAAAATAATTTATATAATTAATATAATTTTGATTGATAAATACATTTTTGTGTGTAAATTTAATAATCTTTCTATAATTATTTTACTTTAATATTTAATATAATATTGATTTTTAATTTTTAAATATTTATAATATTCTTAAATTATAAGATAAATACTTATTCATACAGCCGTAGAACATAGGGTCAATATCTAATTATCTTTTATAACTAACTTTCAATAGTTACTTTTTACTGCATTATTATCATTTAACATCAAACTTGTGGAATCTTATCAAGCAATTAAATGATTTACAACATTCTAATCACAAACAAATTACTGTACATCATCAAAGACAAAACTTCTAACTTGCAATCTTCTTGACTAGTCCAATCTTCAATGTAAAATTTTCTTTGAATTCATTGCTTGCAGGTCAAACATTAAATATAGGAACCTTTCATAAAAATAAAAAAGACTTGGCACATTGTGGCCGTTCCACTAAACCCAACACCTGTTGGTAAGGCATATAACTTTTATTGATACATTGTACAAAATTTAAAAATTAATGATTAAATTTAAATTAAGGTTAATAAAGTTTTCAATATTTTTTTTTTCTAGAAAAGAAAACATTTAAAAATTGATACACTGCATCAAGATATTAATTTAAGTCCAATTTAAAATTAAGAAATGATATTAAAAAACTACAAAATAAAAAGAAAAAAAAATCTATCCACCATAAATTTTACTATTTTTTCAAATAACATCTTGAATATTAAATTTATCTTAATCAATCCCTAAATTTTATCTTATTTGTAAATAGAAATCATAAAATTTAATTTTATTTCAATTAATCTTAAAATTCTTCCTTTTACAAATAAACACCTTCAACTATATTTACTATTTATAATTTTTACAAATAGTTTAATTTATCAATTTAGACTTCAATTGTTTATTTTAAATGTCAATTATTCATTAACCTTTTTATTTATTTAGTACAATTACTTTTAATATAATAAAATATTCATTAAAAATAAAAGAATAGTAAAAAAAATATTTATTTTATTTTTAATTTCTAATTTTATGATTTAATATAAAAAAGAAAAATGATATAAAAAACTAATGAGTGAATATGACTTAAAATAAATAAATGATTAATATTTTAATCTCAATAGATTACTATATATTAATAAGAGATAAAATATTAAAATTAAGGTGCTTATTTTTAAAAGGATTAATTATAAGATAATAAAAATTTATGGCTTATGGTGCTTATTTATTAATAAAATTTATAATATTTATTTGTAAGAGAGGTGAAGTATGGTTATGTAATTTTTTTGCTTTGTTCCCTCCACCTCGTTTCCGTGTCTAAGCCATCTCACGCCCGTCACCGTTCACACCATCGACGCCCTCTCTCCAGTCTCCACGCCACACCAAAACTGATTTGTGGGTTTAGGGTTTAGGGTTTTGAGCGATTGTGTTTTCAGCGGCGCCAAGGGACTCCATTCATTCACACTGCTTCTTTTTAACGTTCTGCATTGCTGCACAACTCACTAAGCAATGGACGTCGACGATGCGTCCGACGCAGAACCCGCCGCCACCACCAGCGCCGGTTCCGCGGCCAAGAAATCGAGGCAGCGGAAGAGGAAGGAGCACACGGCGGACAAGGAGGGCCACGCGGCGGCGCGAGAGAAGCTGGCGAAGAGAATCCTCTTGTCCCTGACGAGGCCTTCCTACGTTCTAGGGTTGGGTCCCAAGCCTCTGCGGCTGGAACACCGCACGAGGCTGCGCTACCTGCTGCGGAGGCTCGTCAACCAGCACCACTGGGTCGCCGCCAGCGGCGTTCTCAGTGCCTACTTGAAGGGGACGCTCACTGACGCCTCTCCCTTCAGGAACCGTCTCAAGTTTTGGGCTTTATTCGAGCTTCTTAGGCACGTGGACAAGTCTTCTATGAATCCAACGAGAATGAAGAATCTCTATGATATTTGGTCCAAGAAAATTGGATCAATGAAGACTTGGCCAGTGGAGGTATTTCCGCAAACTCTTTGTTTAGACTAATGAGAACAATTTCATGGTGAGCTGTTTGGTAGTATGCAAAGGCTTCTAGGTTTGAACTTTGTAATTCCTACAAATAAAAAAATTACCTTCATGTTACATGTTTAGAGATTGCTTTGTCAGCTACTAATATTGTGTTTGGTTATGTGCTGTGGTGAAAGAAAAACAATTATGTTATTTCTTAATGTAGAATTTTACTTGTGGAGCAGAGCAGATATGCAGTCCATTTGGAGTTCATGTTTTTCTGTCTTTTGCAAGGCAATGCTGGGGATGCATACCAGCTTGCTCTATGGTATGTAATTTAATTTCCAATGCATTGTACTTTGCTTCTGAGAGTAATGAGTTGCATCATGATGCCACGGGGTGGATTGTTTCCTAACTTGTCATTACTACATAATGTGGTGAGCTGGTTGGCAGCCATTATTATTATATTTTTATTGAGGGTTCTATATTTTTCAATGAAACTTGTATTGCTCATAATGGTTGATGAGGTGTTAATGATTATTATTGTTGGTATTTTATTCCTCCTGAGATTTAGGAATATTATCTTAATGGTGGTTTTCACTTCAAAAATAGTAAAATACATGTCAGGGTTGAGAAATAGTGTTATAAGGGGGTTACAAGGCTCTAATTTCTTTTCTTCCTTCACATTCCCTTACTCTCTTTATACTTTTTCATTTTTTTTTTCTTTTGTTTTCTCCTTTAGCCTTGAGCAAGAAAAAGTTGATGTTGATCCAGTGTCAAAGATGATGATGGGTTTGACATTCTATGAGCTATGGTATTCTTCTATCTCCAAAGAATTCCAGTGGAGAAATTCAGATCAGTTTGACTTGCAAGAGAACTCACATATGGAGGGAACCTCATTCAACAATGAAACTGGACAGTTAGAGTGGTTTAATTCAGTTGAATCCCACATGGCTGAATCCCAATATCAACATGATTCGGATGCCTCTGTCATGAATGATAAGCAGATATCTAGAAATGTTGTCTTCAATGAAGAAATGAAGGTTGATGCTAACGAAAGAAAAAAACCACACCAGAGCTTTCA